GCGGCAGGGACTGGGAGACTAGTCAGGATCGAGGGAAAGATGAACAGAGCAAGTACAGAGAGATCCTTGATGAAAACCTGCTCCAGAGCACTCAGGACCTTAGACTGGGGTGAAGGTTCACCTTCCAACAGGACAACGACCCTAAGCACACAGCCAAGACAACGCAGGAGTGGCTTCGGGACAAGTGTCTGAATGTCCTTGAGTGGCCCAGCCAGAGCCCGGACTTGAACCCGATCGCTGGACCAATTGTGCGCCGCCCATGGGTCTCCCGGTCGCGGCAGAGCCTGGACTCGAACCAGGATCTCTAGTGGCACAGCTAGCACTGCGATGCAGTACCTTAGACCACTGCGCCACTCGGGATCTGTTTGGGATTCTTGCGGTGAATTTGCAGTCAAATTATTTGTTATTATGTTCGGCCTGCGGCTGAATCTAGTTGATGATCCCTGCTATAGAGGCTGTTATGCCTTTTCCCGTCAGTATCCAGTGTAGACGCCAGTGTATTTGCTCCATTATAAGCCCTCTCCCACTGCCTCTGACCTTATTGAGGCCTAGTAAAGGCTCTATATCCAAACCTCAGAGGGAAGCTCCATGTCTCATCACTAGAGAACAGGATGACCATGTCTGTACCCCATGCAGCTCTGTGACCCATGGGGCTTATTCTGCAGGTGTATCCCCATACTCACCTCTACCCCACCCTTTCTTCCCTCCCTCTCTAATCCCATATATTCTCCTCCAAGTCGGCTTCTCCCTTTCACTAGATCAATGAACGTCAATGAAATACACAGAGAGGGACACATTATTTAGGTAAGAAAAACACGTATATAAAGTCAATGTGAATGAATGAACGCTCTTACAAGCATGTTCAGAACGCCATGGCCTAGATATGTCTTATTATGAGATAATACAGGGATAATGAACACTCTTAGAGAACTGAATGAAACACCAGCTCTATCACATAGCCTACTTCATTACCACAGCGCATGACCGATGTGATCAGGCATGGCCTAATATAGATCTACTTACTAAGGTTACTATCTGTGAAGACTGGATCTGTATACAGTACATGAAGTCTGCATGCTGGATCTCCACCAGGGGGCACCATTAAGTCACAAACAGAGGGAGAGAGATGGAAAAGGAGCAGACAGACGAGAGAAGCTTCTTCGCATTTCAAAATAAAGATTTAATCAAGTAAAGTACTCACTTAACAAAAATATTTCACTGTGCTACACTTTCAACATAATCGAATAGAGCACATAAAAAAGGGTACTATCACTCAGAACGCATGCATGGGTCCCCCTGTAGCTCAGTTGGTACAGCATGGCGCTTGCAACGCCAGGGTTGTGGGTTCGTTTCCCACGGGGGGGCCAGTATGAAAATGTATGCACTCACTAACTGTAAATCGCTCTGGGTAAGAGCGTCTGTAAAAAAAACAAAAAAACAAAGACGCAGACAAGAAAGCACATAAGACTTAGTTGTGTTTTAGAAATTACAGCTAGTTTAGTTGATATTGGCACACATGTGTTGGTATTGGTTTGAGAGATTGATATCAGTTTGGGGATTAAGTGGCTTCCTGGTCATCTGTAGAGGTCATACGTTGGCTCTGGTTCATCAGTAAGTGACCTGTAATGAAAAAAGAACACAGAATACCCCAAAGTCCCGCCTACTTCCTGGTGCAAGTCCCGCACTGTTTTGAATGGGCGTCAAGCTTATATCATACAATTAATGACAATGGGGTCATTTCACTGGCATACCGGACACCTCCACAGCCCCCGCAACATGTTTTATTTCGATATGTACTAGGAAACTATATGTTTGTTTCTTGGGCTTCAGGAATGTGACTGGAAAAGTGCCCCAGGCCTTGAAAAATAAAAAAATAAACTGATAAGTATAAGCGGATATCGGTGAACATACACAGTGGTCAAGGCTACGACGGCGCCGGTGCAATGAGTGGAGTTTACTCAGGTGTTCAAAAGTGCATATCTGACCGAGAGCCTAATGCTTCTTCGGTAGTTCTTTATGAGATTTAGTTTTAGAAAACAATTTCTCCGCAGAAGCGACAGTTACAGGGATGCTAAAAACAGCTTGAATACCATGACAACATCAGGGAAACTGGGCAGAAGGGAGCGGTGCTTCAAATCCAGCAGTTCTGCAACATCTTTAATTGGGCCTCTCATGCTCCTTGATGGAACATTCCACCTCAAAACGATCCTTTGGTTTTTGTTTTATTAGTCCATTGTTGACATAATCCCAAAGGTTTTCAAGATATGTCACTTTCAAAATACAGAATTCATCCCCAAATGATGCATTTTGCATCACGGGATAATTTCTGTATTGGATTTAATGAAATGTACCTTGAATATTGCAGCCCATTTGTGTAGGCTATTTGCCAGACACAACCCTCTGAGTAGTTTGAATTTATTTTCAAGCCGACTACTTTTTTCCTCATTGTTAGGCTATTTGATATGTAACAGTTTATAAATAGCAGTTAAATAGCAACTAAATACGGTATATAGCTATAAATAGTACACTGCATAATGAAACAATCCATACTAAACTAGTGTTTTGAGGGTGGACTGACTGTATTATTTGGCATTAATAGACTGGTTTTACGCACAACAACTTTGCATCCAAACTGGGAGAGAGCGTGTACAATCTGCAATGTTTGAATTTCCAACTTTAATTACTGAACAAGTAATTACATTATTGCCACCAGCCAGCAGTCTAAATGGCAGGATTGCAACACCGTGTATAGCTTCATGAAATGAGCTTCATAACATGAGAAAATGACGACCAAATAGGCCTACCAATAAACATTTATCCATTAGCTAAAGCAAAGCTATACATACCCTGGCACCAAAGAAAGCCTATCATCGATTCGATAGGCACGCAGCCACATAGACATACAGCAGCCTTTCAGCACCATGGACAGCGATCGGTATCGTCGATACTTTGTGAGCGGCTGTCTGGCTGACACATTCGATTTTTATTTTATTTTAGGGGGGAACGAACTCCGACCTTGCCGGGGTCCAGAGAAACTGCGTTATACCAGTCGGTCATTTAAGATATATGTCAAATTATATTCCTATTCGCGGATTAATTTACCTTTACCCAATGCCTTTTTATGAAGGTTTTCGATTACGAAATTGTTTTGCAAGCGAAAACCTTCATGAAAGGCATCAGGTAGAAGTTAATTAATCCACGAATACGAATATCATTTTACATATATCTTAAATGATCACGTCTTCATGAATTGTATGATATAAACTTGAAGCCCATTCAAAAACCGTATGGGATTTACACCAGGAAATAGGTGCGACTTTCATAGAGTATAGAGAGGCAGTTAGGAATGTAAGAGACAGCGGCATACACACCATTACAGTAAAGACTATTCATGAATTATATGTTCAAATAAACTGCTAGTAATTTGAGTGTTTTTCAACCATTCAGGCCTGCTATATTTGGCCTTCTAAACGTTTAGTGAATAAAGGCGCTTGGTTAGAGTGATATACAGGCGCTGTCCACTGGCGAGGTGCTGAAATCCCTGCCAACGGTCTATTGTTGTGTCACATTAGGATACTAGACAGCAAAAATTGAATTTTATTCATATTTTTCGCGGGTGATGTCATAATCATTGAGTAGAGGTCAGATAATTTGAATATATGGATTTGGCGCTACATTTGATTCACTGCTAGCCCATTTGTGTACATGCCCTTCATACTTAGTAATATGAATATCAACAGCATACTTAGTAATCAGAATATTTAGCAGAATCAGAGCAACCAGTGTGGCCTCTCTCGCAGCCTGACTCCACTCCTGCGTTAACCACACGGTGTCGCTGTTCACCAGTAAACGTCTCAGCACTGTTCAGAGGGAGCCATGACATTCTCATCCAGCCCTGCTGTAGGACAGACCTGTTTCAGCTGATATAAATATGCCTCTTTATTTTATAACAACGATAATGCTCTGAACAACTGGCTACTACATAGGAATTTTGTACATGCATTAATAGCATCCGAGTGTATAAGGAGTCTATTTCTGGCTGGAATTCAACGTTCAGGATGCATCGGGAAAAAAGGCGTTTCTCGGCTGTCTTTGTTTTTTGTACCTTATGGAGCAGCACTTTGTCCGTGACTCGGTACTCCATACCCGAGGAGATGGAGAGGGGGTCCGTCGTGGCCAATTTAGCCGCAGATTTGGGTCTGGAGGTTGGAGTTCTGGCTCATCGTGAGGTAAAACTTGAAATGTTCCAAGAAAGCAAGAAATATCTGGATGTCAACAAGAAGACAGGGGAGCTCTACATTGTTGAAAAGATGGACAGAGAATATCTCTGCCCATCGAAAACTGCAACAACATGTTTTGTTAAACTAGACGTTATCATTGAAAGTCCCTTGCGCATTTTCAATATCGAGTTAGAAATCAAAGATATCAATGATAATGCCCCTCATTTTCGTAGAGACAGGGTAGAGCTTGATGTTTCAGAATCGGCTACCCCGGGTGAGAGATTCTCCTTACCAAATGCCGTGGACCCAGATGGTGGTATAAACACTGTAAAAATGTACAAACTCAGTGAAAGCGAACATTTCACCATAGAAATTCAGACTGGGAGTGATGGTACTAAATATGTTGACATGGTTTTGACAAAGGCTTTAGATCGAGAAGAGCACGCGGTTCATCATCTAATATTGACCGCTGTAGATGGCGGGGTGCCCGCGCGCTCTGGTACAGCTAATATCATTGTTAGGGTGCTAGATACAAACGACAACGCCCCTCGATTCGACCACCCGGTTTATTCCGTTAATATGACAGAGAACTCCCCGATTGGAACGCTAGTAATGAAGCTTGACGCCACAGATTTAGATGAGGGCCCAAATGCAGAAATCACGTATTCATTCACACTTTACACATCAGAGAAAACACAAGACGTCTTTGCACTAAATCCAAACACAGGAGAGATAACAGTGAAGGGCACTATTGATTATGAAGACATTAAATTTTACGAGATGCATGTTGAGGCTAAGGACAAAGGACAGCATCCCCTATTGGGGCAGTGTAAAGTTATAGTGCACGTTACAGATATGAACGACAACTATCCAGATATCACCGTTAAATCTTATAAGAGCACAGTTAATGAGAACATTCCCGTAGGGACAGTCATAGCTATCGTAGGTATAAGCGACAGGGACACAGGTGACAATGGCAAAGTGAGCCTATCTATAAACCAAAAGCTGCCATTTGTTTTGAACAAGTCATCTGACGTCCTTTATGAGCTTGTAGTCTCAAAGCCATTAGACCGTGAGCAAGTCGCAGAATATGACATCACACTCGTTGTGACGGATGGTGGAACGCCCTCTTTGTCTGATAATGAAACGATAACTTTACATCTATTGGATGTCAATGACAACGCGCCACTTTTCCCCCAGTCCTTCTACACTATACCCGTTATGGAGAATAACGCACCTGGGGCCTTGCTAAGTTCCCTCACTGCGTTTGATCCAGACCTCCATGAAAACCAGTATCTAGTTTATTTCATCATAGAGAAGGAGATAGTGAACACCTCCATGTCCATGCTGTTCTCCATCAATCCGGAGAACGGTAATCTTTACGCACTAAAGACGTTTGACTATGAGATAGAGAAGGAGTTCCTTTTCCACATTGAGGCCAGAGACTCTGGTGTTCCTCCACTCAGCAGTAACGTGACTGTCCACATCATTATTGTGGACCAGAACGACAACACCCCGGTCATAGTCTCTCCGTGGCGCGCGCACGGCTCCATGGTGGAGGAAAAGATCCCCAGATCCACCGATAAAGGATCTCTGGTCTCCAAGGTGATAGCCATAGACACGGACTCGGTCCAGAACTCTCGGATTACATACCAGTTTCTACAGGTTACTGACGCCACCTTATTCAGTCTAGACCAATACAACGGAGAGGTCCGTACTATGAGAATGTTTAGTTACAGAGATCCGCGTCATCAACGGCTGGTTGTCATCGCCAAGGACAATGGGGACCCTGCTCTCTCTGCTACAGTTACCATAAAGCTCTCAACAGTGGAGACTGCCGTTAAAGCCTACTCTGACATGACTGAAGTGCCTCTGGAATATGACATATTTTCAGATTTAAACTTGTATTTGGTGATCGGCCTTGGCTCCGTGTCCTTTCTGTTATTGATCACCATATTGGTCACCTGTGTGCTGAAGTGTCAGAAACCAATGCCCAGCAAAGCGGCTCCTCCAAGTAGGAAACAGCGTGATCAGTGAGAGGAACTCGACCATCGCAGATTCCACCCTGGTCTCCAACGATGCCTACTGGTACAGTCTGTTTCTGGCGGAGACTAGGAAAGGAAAGCTGGTAGTCAGACAGCCTGTGCCAAAGGCGGGGTCCAGATACATCGTGTCCAGTATACCAAGGAGCACGGGATTGACAGAGACCAGCGACTCAGCAGCTTCTACTTTGCAGGTAATACTAAACTCTTCATTTCAGATATTTAAATTGTTGTTTCTATGTAGTCTATTGTCCGTGTATGACTCTTTACACATTCTCCTTGTGTGTACATGTCTATACATTATTTGATTATTAAACAGAAGATACTTCAGGGTTTATAAAATAATACTCAATCTCTATACCATAGGTCTACAAAAACCTTTAAAAGATAAATATATATGGCAAAACCAAATAAATCACATATAGGCTAACTTGGGGCGGCAGGTAGCCTGGCGGGTAGGAGCATTGGGCCAGTAACCGAAAGGTTGCTGGATCGAATTCCCTAGCTGACAAGGTAAAAATCTGTCGTTCTGCCCCTGAGCAAGGCAGTTAACCCACTGTTCCCCGGGCGCCGAAGACGTGGATTTCGATTAAGGCAGCCCCCCGCACCTCTCTGATTCAGAGCGGTTGGGTTAAACGCGGAAGACACATTTCAGTTGTACAACTGACTAGGTATCCCCCTTTCCCCTTCATTCTTAAATTCGATAAAAATCTTGCAGGCAATAATGTTCCACACAGTCAAAAGTTTGGACACACCTCTCATTCCAGTGTTTTGCTTGATTTTTGACTGTTTTCTACATTATAGAATAATAGTGAAGACATCAAAACTATGAAATAACACATATGGAATAATGTAGCAACCAAAAAAGTGTTAAACAAATCAAAATATATTTTATATTTTATATTCTTCAAAGTAGCCACCCTTTGCCTTGATGACAGTTTTGCACACTCTTGGCATTCTCTCAACCAGCTTAATGAAGTAGTCACCTGGAATGCATTTCAATTAACAGGTGTGCCTTGTTAAAAGTACATTTGTGGAATTTATTTCCTTCTTAATGCGTTTGAGCCAATCAGTTCTGTTGTGACAAGGTAGGGGTGGTATACAGAAGATAGCCCTATTTGGTAAAAGACCAAGTCCATATTATGGCAAGAACAGCTCAAAAAAGCAAAGAGAAACCAGTCCATCATTACTTTAAGACATGAAGGTCAGTCAATTCGGAACATTTCAAGAACTTTGAAAGTTTCTTCAAGTGCAGTCGCAATAACCATCAAATGCTATGATGAAACTGGCTCTCATGAGGACCCAGAGTTACCTCTGCTGCAGAGAATAAGTTCACTAGAGTTAACTGCACCTCAGATTGCAGCCCAAATACATTTTTCACAGAGTTCAAGTAACAGACACATCTCAACATAAATTGTTCAGAGGAGACTGCGTAAATCAGGCCTTCATGGTTGAATTGCTGCAAAGAAACCACTACTAAAGGACACCAATAAGAAGAAGACACTTGCTTGGGCAAAGAAACACGAGCAATGGACATTAGACTGGTGGAAATCTGTACTTTGGTCTGATGAGTCCAAATTTGAGATTTTTGGTTCCAACCGCCATGTGTTTGTGAGACACAGAGTAGGTGAACGGATGATCTCCACATGTGTGGTTCCCACCGGGAAGCATGGAGGAGGAGGTGGGATGGTGTGGGGGTGTTTTGCTGGTGACACTCTCTGTGATTTATTTAAAATTCAAGGCACACTTAACCAGCATGGCTACCACAGCATTCTGCAGCGATACGCCATCCCATCTGGTTTGCGCTTAGTGGGACTGTCATTTGTTTTTCAACAGGACAATGACCCAAAACACACCTCCAGGCATTGTAAGGGATATTTGACCAAGTAGAGTGATGGAGTGCTGCATCAGATGACCTGGCCTCCACAATCCCCCGACCTCAACCCAATTGAGATGGTTTGGGATTAGTTGGACCGCAGAGTGAAAGAAAAGCAGCCAATAAGTGCTCAGCATATGTAGGAACTCCTTCAAGACTGTTGGAAAAGCATTCTTCAAGAAGCTGGTTGAGCGAATGCCAAGAGTGTGCAAAGCTGTCATCAAGGCAAAGGGTGGCTACTTTGAAGAATCTAAAATAAAAAAAATATATATTGATTTGTTTAACACTTTTTTGGTTACTCCATGACTCCATATGTGTTATTTCATAGTTTGTATGTCTTCACTATTATTCTACAATGTAGAAAATAGTAAAAATTAAGAAAAACCCTTGAATGAGTAGGTGTGTCCAAACTTTTGACTGGTACTGTAGTTTTAGTCAGATGTACAACCTTGTTATATGCACAAAGTGTCGCTATTTACCAGCTAAACACACTCGCTTGTGATGCAATAATCGCCATGACAGTTTGTCATGAAGAAGGCAGTGTACAAACGCAGTGGATAGCTCCCAGTGCTGAACCGTCAAAAAGGAGATTATTCTGCCCTGATCGCCCTAAAACACCAAAGGAATTGTGCTATGCTGTTTTAAAGATCTTATTCTGTTGTCTCACGTTTTGTTTGACCTGACTGCTTTGTCAACAAAGCTCACAAATATAACAATGGAGGCATGTATCAGCGCACAGCACTGGAGAAGGTACGTCTCGGTATTTCTTATTTTCTCTGCGGTCCTGAACACGGCATATGCCGTTACTCACTATTCTATTCCTGAAGAAATGGAGGAGGGCTCCGTTGTGGCTAATCTTGCAGCTGATTTAAGTTTGGATGTGAAAACATTGAGTAAACGTAAGATGCGGTTGGACATTATCTCCAATAAAAAATATCTGGATGTGAACAAAGAAACGGGGGAGCTGTACATTGTAGAGAAGATGGACAGGGAATATCTTTGCCCTGCTAAGACATCTTGTTTTCTTAAAATGGAAGCTATTATTGAAAATCCACAACGGATCTTTTACATCGAAATAGAGATAATGGACATAAATGATAACGCCCCCCATTTCCGAAGAGACACCATTAACTTGGATATTTCAGAAGCAACACAGGGGGGTGAACGATTTTCTGTTAACAATGCAGTGGATCCTGACGTTGGTTCGAACTCAGTGAAAACATACCTACTGAGCGAAAATGAGCACTTTACAATCGAAATTCAGACAGGAAGAGACGGGTCAAAATTTGCTGATTTGATACTGAAAAGTGTGTTAGACCGAGAGGAGCAGGCAGTTCATAATCTAATACTCACCGCTGTAGACGGTGGAGTCCCTGCGCGCTCTGGTACAGCCAGCATAGTTGTTCGCGTTTTAGATACGAATGACAACGCCCCAAAGTTTGACAAAGACAACTACAAAATCGATATAATGGAAAACTCACCTATTGGAAGCCTTGTTGTTAAATTGAATGCAACTGACTTAGATGAGGGTACAAATTCGGAAATAATATATTCTTATAGCCTGTACACGTCAGAGAAAACACAACAAACATTCCATTTAAACCCTAATAATGGTGAGATCACGGTAAAGGAAATGATCAATTATGAGGATTTCAGGATCTATGATATGGAAGTAATTGCAACGGATAAGGGGCCCAATTCCTTGTCAGGTCAGTGTAAATTAACAATTTTAGTTACGGATATGAATGATAATCATCCCGAAATATCAATCAAATCATTTCAAAGCCCTGTAAAGGAGGACATAGCAGTAGACACGGTGATAGCAGTAGTCAGTGTCAGCGATAAAGATTCAGGTGAAAATGGGATTGTTGATATTCATATTGCCGATACATTACCTTTTGCGCTGAGAGAGTCTTCTGATAACTATTATGAGTTAGTAGTTTCACAACCTCTGGATCGTGAGAAGATCCCAGAATATGACATCACCTTTACCGTAACAGACAGGGGTTTCCCTCCTCTATCTGACAATGAAACTATGACTTTAGAACTACTAGACGTTAACGACAACGTTCCACAGTTCCCCCAGTCGTTCTACACTATACCCGTTATGGAGAATAACGCACCTGGGGCCTTGCTAAGTTCCCTCACTGCGTTTGATCCAGACCTCCATGAAAACCAGTATCTAGTTTATTTCATCATAGAGAAGGAGATAGTGAACACCTCCATGTCCATGCTGTTCTCCATCAATCCGGAGAACGGTAATCTTTACGCACTGAAGACGTTTGACTATGAGATAGAGAAGGAGTTCCTTTTCCACATTGAGGCCAGAGACTCTGGTGTTCCTCCGCTCAGCAGTAACGTGACTGTCCACATCATTATTGTGGACCAGAACGACAACCCCCCGGTCATAGTCTCTCCGTGGCGCGCGCACGGCTCCATGGTGGAGGAGAAGATCCCCAGATCCACCGACAAAGGATCCCTGGTCTCCAAGGTGATAGCCATAGACACGGACTCGGTGCAGAACTCTCGGATTACATACCAGTTTCTACAGGTTACTGATGCCACCTTATTTAGTCTGGACCAATACAACGGAGAGGTCCGGACAATGAGAATGTTCAGTTACAGAGATCCGCGTCATCAACGGCTGGTTGTCATCGCCAAGGACAACGGGGACCCTGCTCTCTCTGCTACAGTTACCATAAAGCTCTCAACAGTGGAGACTGCCGTTAAAGCCTACTCTGACATGACTGAAGTGCCCCTAGAATATGACATATTTTCAGACTTAAACCTCTATTTGGTGATCGGCCTTGGCTCGGTGTCCTTTCTGTTATTGATCACCATATTGGTCACCTGTGTGCTGAAGTGTCAAAAACCAAAGCCCAGCAAAGCAGCTCCTCCAAGTAGGAACAGCGTGATCAGCGAGAGGAACTCAACCATCGCAGATTCCACCCTGGTCTCCAACGATGCCTACTGGTACAGTCTGTTTCTGGCGGAGACTAGGAAAGGAAAGCTGGTGGTCAGACAGCCTGTGCCAAAAGCAGGTTCCAGATACATCGTGTCAAGTATACCAAGGAGCACGGGATTGACAGAGACCAGCGACTCAGCGGCCTCTACTCTGCAGGTAAGAATAAACTCTTCATTTCAGATTAGCGAACTATTTGACTTTAATCTGGTTGTCTATGTATGACTCTTCATGCATTCACGTAGTGCGTAAATGTCTATACATTTGTTGTTATTCAAGAGAAAACACTTGTGGGGTCATGAAACAACAAGTAATCAACATCAAGTTGGTCTACAACAAGTTTTATAATAGAAATGTTTGGCAAAAAACGGAGATCACATATCGGCTACCTTGGTCTTTCAGGCAATGATGCTTCACACGTTTGCATCCATCTGTCTAGAATTAGCTATAATATTCAGACATAGTCCAACAAAGTCGAAGGAAGAACAGATGTACAAGCTTGTTATATGCACAAAGTGTCGCTGTTCACCAGCTAAACACACTCGCTTGTGATGCAATAATCGCCATGACAGTTCGTCATAGTAATTAAGGCAGTGTACCAACGCAATGAACAGCTCCCGGTGCTGAAACCATCAAAAAGGACATTATTCTGCCCTGCTCGACATAAACGCCAAAGGAGTTGCTCTATTCTCTTGTAAACATTTTATTATCCTGGTTCACGTTGTGTTTGACCTGACTGCACAGTTACCAGGACACAAAAATATGACAATGGAGGCGCACAGAAGCGCAGAGCACTGGAGAAGGTACGTCTCGGTCTTTCTTCTTTTCTCTACGGCCCTGAACACCGTATATGCGGTTACTCACTATTCTATTCCAGAGGAATTAAAGGAAGGCTCTGTTGTCGCCAATTTAGCTGCTGATCTGGGACTAGACGTGCAGGAACTAAGTAGACGAAAGATGCGGTTAGATGTCATAGCCAATAAGAAATACTTGGATGTGAACAAAGAAACAGGAGAGCTGTACATTGTTGAAAAAATTGACAGAGAATATCTTTGCATATCAAAAACAACATGCTTTCTCAAATTGGATGCAACAATTGAAAATCCAATAAGAATGTTCAACATTGAGTTGGAAATATTGGACATTAACGACAATGCGCCTCATTTTCGAAGAGATACAATGCACTTGGATATAGCAGAGTCTACTCCTGCGGGCGAAAGGTTCTCATTGAACAATGCGGTGGACCCAGATATTGGTACGAATTCAATTAAAACATACTATCTGGGTGAAAGTGAGCACTTCAATATAGAAATCCAGACTGGAAGAGATGGGTCTAAATTTACTGATTTGATTCTGAAAAAGGCTTTAGACAGAGAGGAGCAGTCGGTTCATAATCTAATACTCACTGCTGTAGACGGAGGAGTCCCTTCACGCACAGGCACAGCGAATATCATTGTCCGTGTGCTGGATACAAATGACAACGCCCCTAAATTTGATCGGGAAAGCTACAACATTGATATAATGGAGAATTCCCCAATTGGACGTGTAGTAGTGAAACTGAATGCAACGGATTTGGACGAGGGGTCCAATTCGGAAATAGTATATTCATTTAGTCTTTATACATCAGAGAAAACGCAAGAAACGTTCAATTTAAACCCTAATACCGGTGAAATAACAGTAAAGGAAATGATAAATTATGAAGATTTTAGGATATATGATATGGAAGTTATAGCAACGGACAAAGGAACTAATTTTTTATCTGGACATTGCAAACTAACTATCTTAGTGACCGATATGAATGATAATCATCCCGAATTATCAATCAAATCCTTTCAAAGTCCAATCAAGGAGGATATAGCAGTAGACACGGTAATAGCAGTGGTTAGTGTCAGCGATAAAGATTCAGGTGAAAATGGAAAAGTCGATATTCACATTGCTGATCAATTACCTTTTGCGCTGAGAGAATCCTCTGGTAACTATTATGAGTTAGTAGTTTCAGAGCCTCTGGACCGCGAGAAGGTCCCAGAATATGACATCACTTTTACCGTAACAGACAGGGGTTTCCCCTCCTCTATCTGACAACGAAACTATGACTTTAGAACTACTAGACGTTAAACGACAACGTTCCACAGTTCCCCCAGTCGTTCTACACTATTCCCGTTATGGAGAATAATGCACCTGGGGCCTTGCTAAGTTCCCTCACTGCGTTTGATCCAGACCTCCATGAAAACCAGTATCTAGTTTATTTCATCATAGAAAAGGAGATAGTGAACACCTCAATGTCCATGCTGTTCTCCATCAATCCGGAGAACGGTAATCTTTACGCACTAAAGACGTTTGACTATGAGATAGAGAAGGAGTTCCTTTTCCACATTGAGGCCAGAGACTCTGGTGTTCCTCCACTCAGCAGTAACGTGACTGTCCACATCATTATTGTGGACCAGAACGACAACCCCCCGGTCATAGTCTCTCCGTGGCGTGCACACGGCTCCATGGTGGAGGAGAAGATCCCCAGATCCACCGATAAAGGATGCCTGGTCTCCAAAGTGATAGCCATAGACACAGACTCAGTCCAGAACTCTCGGATTACATACCAGTTTCTACAGGTTACTGACGCCACCTTATTCAGTCTGGACCAATACAACGGAGAGGTCCGTACTATGAGAATGTTCAGTTACAGAGATCCGCGTCATCAACGACTGGTTGTCATCGCAAAGGACAATGGGGACCCTGCTCTCTCTGCTACGGTTACCATAAAGCTCTCAACAGTGGAGACTGCCGTTAAAGCCTACTCTGATATGACTGAAGTGCCTCTAGAATTGACATATTTTCAGACTTAAACCTCTATTTGGTGATCGGCCTTGGCTCAGTGTCCTTTCTGTTATTGATCACCATATTGGTCACCTGTGTGCTGAAGTGTCAGAAACCAAAGCCCAGCAAAGCAGCTCCTCCCAGTAGGAACAGTGTGATCAGCGAGAGGAACTCAACCATCGCAGATTCCACCCTGGTCTCCAACGATGCCTACTGGTACAGTCTGTTTCTAGCGGAGACAAGGAAAGGAAAGCTGGTAGTCAGACAGCCTGTGCCTAAAGCGGGGTCCAGATACATTGTGTCCAGTATACCAAGGAGCACGGGCCTGACAGAGACCAGTGACTCAGCGGCCTCTACTCTGCAGGTAAGAATAAACTCTTCATTTCAAATCTGCAAAATCTTGTTTTACTGGAGCCTACTGTCCGTGTTTGACTCTTTATGCGTTCGCCTCGCGCGTAAATGTATATCTATCTGTACGTTCTTAAAAATTCAATGGAAGACACTAATAATGTCATAACATAATAATCAATCAACAATGTGTAGGTCTACAACAACTTTTAAAAGATACATACAGTATCTCACAAAAGTGAGTACACCCCCTCACATTTTGCTACAACGTAAAGTAGTTAGTGTACAGCTTGTATAACAGTGTAAATTTGCTGTCCCCTCAAAATAACTAAACACACAGCCATTAATGTCTAAACCGCTCGCAACAAAAGTGAGTACACCCCTAAGTGAAAATGTCCAAATTGGGCCCAAAGTGTCAATATTTTGTGTGGCCACCATCATTTTCCAGCTCTGCCTTAACCCTCTTGGGCATGGAGTTCACCAGAGCTTCACAGGTTGCCACTGGAGTCCTCTTCCACTCCTCCATGACGACACCACGGAGCTGGTGGATGTTAGAGACCTTGCACTCCTCCACCTTCCGTTTGAGGATGCCCCACAGATGCTCAATAGGGTTTAGGTCTGGAGACATGCTTGGCCAGTCCATCACCTTTACCCTCAGCTTCTTTAGCAAGGCAGTGGTCATCTTGGAGGTGTGTTTGGGGTCGTTATCATGTTGGAATACTGCCCTGCGGCCCAGTCTCCAAAGGAAGGGGATCATGCTCTGCTTCAGTATGTCACAGTACATGTTGGCATTCATGGTTCCCTCAATGAACTGTAGCTCCCCAGTGCCGGCAGTACTCATGCAGCCCCAGACCATGACACTCCCACCACCATGCTTGACTGTAGGCAAGACACACTTGTCTTTGTACTCCTCACCTGGTTACCGCCACACACGCTTGACACCATCTGAACCAAATAAGTTAATCTTGATCTCATCAGACCACAGCACATGGTTCCAGTAATCCATGTCCTTAGTCTGCTTGTCTTCAGCAAACTGTTTGCGGGCTTTCTTGTGCATCATCTTGAGAAGAGGCTTCCTTCTGGGACGACAGCCATGCAGCACTGACAGGCTGACCCCCCACCCCTTCAACCTCTGCAGCAATGCTGGCAGCACTCATACGTCTATTTCCCAAAGACAACCTCTGGATATGACGCTGAGCACATGCACTCAACTCAACTTCTTTGGTCGACCATGGCGAGGCCTGTTCTGAGTGGAACCTGTCCTGTTAAACCACTGTATGGTCTTGGCCACCGTGCTGCAGCTCAGTTTCAGGGTCTTGGCAATCTTCTTATAGCCCAGGCCATCTTTATGTAGAGCAACAATTCTTTTTTTCAGATCCTCAGAGAGTTCTTTGCCATGAGGTGCCATGTTGAACTTCCAGTGACCAGTATAAGGGAGTGTGAGAGCGATGACACCAAATTTAACACACCTGCTCCCCATTCACACCTGAGACCTTGTAACACTAAAGAGTCACATGACACCGGGGAGGGAAAATGGCTAATTGGGCCCAATTTTGACATTTTCACTTAGGGGTGTACTCACTTTTGTTGCCAGCAGTTTAGACATTAATGGCTGCGTGTTGAGTTATTTTGAGGGGACAGCAAATTTACACTGTTATACAAGCTGTACACTCACTACTTTACATTGTAGCAAAGTGTCATTTCTTCAGTGTTGTCACATGAAAAGATATACTCAAATATTTACAAAAATGTGAGGGGTGTACTCACTTTTGTGAGATACTGTATATGGGGTAAAACCACTTCATCATTCTAATAATGACTGGACAGCACGTAATCCACTGGAGTTGGCAAAGCTGGGTAAAGCCAAAGAAATGCCATATAGGCTACCTTAGTCATTTTTCATTATTTACGTCGATTAAAATCTTGCAGCTAATGATGCTGCAAATGTTTGGATCCCTGTATCTGGTTTTAGTTATATTTTTCAAATATAGTCCGCTTAAATGCAAAGAGAAATATGTACAAGCTTGTTACATGCACAAAGCGTCGCTGTTGACCAGCTAGCTAAACAGACTCGCTTGTCATGCAATGGTCGCCATAACAGTACGTCAAAAGGAAGGCAGTGTAGCCTACAAACGCAGTGGACAGCTCCCGGTGCTGAATACGGTCAAAAAGGACATTATTCGTCACTGCTCGCCCTTAAACGCCAAAGGAGTTGTGATATATTATTTAACATATTTTCTTCGGCTGGCTCACGTTGTTTTACCTGACTTCATAGTAACCAGAACCTACAAATATAACAATGGAGTCGCATATAAGCGCACAACACTGGGTAAGGTACGTCTCGATCTTTCTTCTTTTTAGTGCCGTCCTGAACACTGCGTCTGCCGTGACTCACTATTCTATTCCCGAGGAAATGGAGGAAGGTTCTGTGGTTGCTAATTTAGCTGCTGATTTGGGTCTGGATGTAAAAACTCTGAGTAAAAGGAGGATTCGATTAGATGTCATAGCGAATAAGAAATATCTGGATGTGAACAAAGAAACAGGGCAGCTGCATATCGTAGAGAGGATTGACAGAGAATATATTTGCACTACTAAGACATCTACATCTTGTTTTCTAAAAATGGAGGCTATTGTTGAAAACCCACAGCGGATATTTTATATCGAATTAGAGATAATGGACATCAATGATAATGCACCAAATTTCCGAAGGGACACCATAAACTTAGATATTTCTGAAGCAACGCAGGCCGGTGAAAGGTTCTCTGTCAATAATGCAGTGGACCTTGATGTTGGGGCTAATTCAGTGAAAACCTACCATCTAAGTGACAGCGACCATTTCAATATAGAAATTCAGACCGGAAGAGATGGGTCAAAGTTTGCTGATTTGATCCTGAAAAAGGCTTTAGATCGAGAGCAGCAGGCGGTTCATAATCTAATACTCACGGCTGTAGATGGCGGGTTACCAACGCGCTCCGGGACAGCCAGCATTACTGTTCGTGTGCTTGATACGAACGACAACGCCCCTAAGTTTGACAAAGACAATTACAAAATCGATTTAATGGAAAACTCTCCAATTGGAAGTCTTGTGGTTGAATTGAATGCAACAGACTTAGATGAGGGTACCAATTCGGAAATATTATATTCATATAGTTTGTATACATCAGAGAAAACACAACAAACATTCGATTTAAACCCTAAGAACGGTGAGATCACGGTAAAGGAAATGATCAATTACGAAGATTTCAGGATCTATGATATGGAAGTCATAGCAACTGACAAGGGGCCTAATTCATTAACAGGTCAATGTAAATTAACCATTTTGGTCACAGATATGAATGATAATCATCCTGAAATCTCCGTCAAATCATTTCAAAGTCCAGTCAAGGAGGATATAGCAGTAGACACGGTGATAGCAGTAGTCAGTGTCAGCGATAAAGATTCAGGTGAAAATGGGATAGTTGATATTCGTATTGCCGATACATTACCTTTTGTGCTGAGAGAGTCTTCTAATAACTATTACGAGTTAGTAGTTTCACAACCTCTGGACCGTGAGAAGGTCCCAGAATATGACATCACTTTTACGGTAACAGACAGGGGATCCCCTCCACTATTTGACAATGAAACTGTGACTTTAGAACTACTAGACGTTAACGACAACGTCCCACAGTTTCCCCAGTCGTTCTACACTATACCCGTTATGGAGAATAACGCACCTGGGGCCTTGCTAAGTTCCCTCACTGCGTTTGATCCAGACCTCCATGAAAACCAGTATCTAGTTTATTTCATCATCGAGAAGGAGATAGTGAACACCTCCATGTCCATGCTGTTCTCCATCAATCCGGAGAACGGTAATCTTTACGCACTAAAGACGTTTGACTATGAGATAGAGAAGGAGTTCCTTTTCCACATTGAGGCCCGAGACTCTGGTGTTCCTCCGCTCAGCAGTAACGTGACTGTCCACATCATTATTGTGGACCAGAACGACAACACTCCGGTCATAGTCTCTCCTTGGCGCGCGCACGGCTCTGTGGTAGAGGAGAAGATCCCCAGATCCACCGACAAAGGATCCCTGATCTCCAAGGTGATAGCCATAGACACGGACTCGGTCCAGAACTCTCGGATTACATACCAGTTTCTACAGGTTACTGACGCCACCTTATTCAGTCTGGACCAATACAATGGAGAGATCCGGACAATGAGAATGTTCAGTTACAGAGATGCGCGTCATCAACGGCTGGTTGTCATTGCCAAGGACAACGGGGACCCTGCGCTCTCTGCTACAGTTACCATAAAGCTCTCAACAGTGGAGACTATCGTTAAAGCCTACTCTGACATGACTGAAGTGCCTCTAGAATATGACATATTTTCAGACTTAAACCTATATTTGGTGATCGGCCTTGGCTCGGTGTCCTTTCTGTTGTTGATCACCATATTGGTCACCTGTGTGCTGAAGTGTCAGAAACCAAAGCCCAGCAAAGCGCCCCCTCCAAGTAGGAACAGTGTGATCAGTGAGAGGAACTCGACCATCGCAGATTCCACCCTGGTCTCCAACGATGCCTACTGGTACAGTCTGTTTCTAGCGGAGACTAGGAAAGGAAAGCTGGTGGTCAGACAGCCTGTGCCTAAGGCGGGGTCCAGATACATCGTGTCCAGTATACCAAGGAGCACGGGATTGACAGAGACCAGCGACTCAGCAGCTTCTACTCTGCAGGTAAGACAAAACCCTCCATCTGATTTGACCAAATTACCCTCAATCCCTTTGATAAACAAGCCTGGATGTCTGTGCGTAAAAGCAGTCAATGCAGGGTGAAACGTTCATGCATATAGGCATAAATATATGGGTTGTGAACAAACAAGTATGACAACGCAAAACAACAACAACAAAAAACATTTAGAACTATTGATTGTATTATACCTATTTTAATCAATTAAACTTTTCTGCCTGGTTTTAATTCAATGGTGTGAATGCTGGTAAAATGCGCGAAGTGTCGCTGCTCACCAGTAAAACGAACTCTTCTATGATGTAACAGTCGCCATGACAGTTCGTTACAGTGAAGAAAGCAAAGCAATTTGTGGATATCTCCTTGGTCCTGAATCCTTCGCTGTGAAAAGGATGATCTAAAATACATCTCGGTACAACGGTCGACTCGTTTGGCGTCTCATACCACCATCAAAAGGTATCGTTTTCTATATTGCATCACGCACTGATCAAAACAATCAAACGATGGAGGCACATTGTCTCGTTCAACCCTGGAAAAGGTACGTGTCGATCTTTGTTATATTCTCTGCCACCATGAACACGTTGTCTGCCGTTACCCACTATTCTATTCCCGAAGAAATGGAGGAAGGCTCTGTTGTTGCGAATCTAGCTGCTGATTTGGGACTGGACGTGAAAACACTGAGTAGACGGAAGATGCGGTTAGATATTATTGCCAATAAGAAATACTTGGATGTGAACAAAGAAACAGGCGAACTGTACGTTGTTGAGAAGATAGATCGAGAATATCTCTGCGCTTCTAAAACAGCCACAACTTGTTTTCTGAAATTAGATGCTACAATCGAAAACCCAATACGAATATTCAACATTGAATTGGAAATAATGGATATCAATGACAATGCGCCACATTTTCGACGAGATTCCATACACTTGGACATATCTGAATCCACACCAACTGGGGAAAGATTCTCGTTAAACAATGCAGTGGATTCTGATGTCGGTACAAACTCAATTAAAACATACTATCTCAGTGAAAGTGAGCATTTTAATATTGAAGTTCAGACTGGGAGAGACGGGTCAAAGTTTGCTGATCTAATTTTGAAAAATACTTTAGACCGAGAGGAGCAGGCGGTTCATAATCTAATACTCACCGCTGTAGATGGTGGAGTCCCCGCACGCTCTGGCACAGCCAGCATCATTGTTCGCGTGCTGGACACGAATGACAACGCCCCTAAATTTAAAAAGGATAATTACAATATAAACATAATGGAGAACTATCCAATCGGAAGTCTTGTGGTTAAATTGAACGCAACTGATATTGATGATGGTACTAATTCGGACATTGTCTATTCATTTAGTTTGTATACATCAGAAAAGGCTCAAGGAACCTTCAGTTTGAACCCAACTAACGGAGAAATCAGAGTAAAAGAAATGATTAATTATGAAGATTTTAGAATATATGATATGGAAGTCATAGCAACCGACAAGGGGACCAATTCCTTATCAGGACAGTGTAAATTAACTATTCTAGTCACAGATATGAATGATAATCATCCAGAAATCTCAATCAAATCATTTCAAAGTCCAGTCAAGGAGGATATAGCAGTAGACACGGTGATAGCAGTGGTTAGTGTCAGCGATAAAGATTCAGGTGAAAATGGAAAAGTCGATATTAATATTTCTGATCAATTACCTTTTGAGCTAAGAGAGTCTTCTGATAACTATTATGAGTTGGTAGTTTCAGAGCCTCTGGACCGTGAGAAGGTCCCAGAATATGACATCACCTTTACCGTAACAGACAGGGGTTCCCCTCCACTATCTGACAATGAAACTATGACTTTAGAACTACTAGACGTTAACGACAATGTCCCACAGTTCCCCCAGTCGTTCTACACTATTCCCGTTATGGAGAATAACGCACCTGGGGCCTTGCTAAGTTCCCTCACTGCGTTTGATCCAGACCTCCATGAAAACCAGTATCTAGTTTATTTCATCATAGAGAAGGAGATAGTGAACACCTCGATGTCCATGCTGTTCTCCATCAATCCGGAGAACGGTAATCTTTACGCACTAAAGACGTTTGACTATGAGATAGAGAAGGAGTTCCTTTTCCACATTGAGGCCAGAGACTCTGGTGTTCCTCCGCTCAGCAGTAACGTGACTGTCCACATCATTATTGTGGACCAGAACGACAACCCCCCGGTCATAGTCTCTCCGTGGCGCGCGCTCGGCTCCGTGGTGGAGGAGAAGATCCCCAGATCCACCGATAAAGGATCCCTGGTCTCCAAGGTGATAGCCATAGACACCGACTCGGTCCAGAACTCTCGGATTACATACCAGTTTCTACAGGTTACTGACGCCACCTTATTCAGTCTGGACCAATACAACGGAGAGATTCGGACTATGAGAATGTTCAGTTACAGAGATCCGCGTCATCAACGGCTGGTTGTCATCGCCAAAGACAACGGGGACCCTGCGCTCTCTGCTACAGTTACCATAAAGCTCTCAACAGTGGAGACTGCCGTTAAAGCCTACTCTGATATGACTGAAGTGCCTCTACAATATGACATCTTTACAGACTTAAACCTGTATTTAGTGATCGGCCTGGGCTCGGTGTCCTTTCTGTTATTGATCACCATATTGGTCACCTGTGTGCTGAAGTGTCAGAAACCAAAGCCCAGCAAAGCGGCTCCTCCAAGTAGGAACAGTGTGATCAGCGAGAGGAACTCAACCATCGCAGATTCCACCCTGGTCTCCAACGATGCCTACTGGTACAGTCTGTTTCTAGCGGAGACTAGGAAAGGAAAGCTGGTAGTCAGACAGCCTGTGCCAAAGGCGGGCTCCAGATACATCGTGTCCAGTATACCAAGGAGCACGGGCCTGACAGAGACCAGCGACTCAGCGGCCTCTACTTTGCAAGTAAGAATACACTCTTAATATATTATAACAGAATGAAATGCTATGCTATACATACAGTTGCTATAGTCCCGTGCGTAAAACCAGGGCACAAATAAATATAAGTAAGTAATAAAAGCTGTATAAAAAAAAATATATATATATATATGGACATATGTATTTCCCTAATCCAACAGTTAGTCTCACCCGAAAGGTGGACATATTTCCAATTCTAAGGTGAAGTCTGATAAAATGCTCAAAGCGTCGCTGTTCACCAATAAAACCCACTCTTCTGTGATGTAACAGTCGTCATGACAGTTTGTCGCTAGGAAGAGAACAAGGCAATTTCATGTAAACAGCTCCCTGGTCCTGAATCCATCTTTGACTAATGATAATTTAAATTACATTGCATTACAACGCCGGAACTGTCGTCGACTCGTCTTCTCATATTCAAAAAGGTCCCATTTTGTTGCTTGGTGCATTGCGCAAAACAGTCAAATGATGGTTGAACATCGCATCGTTCAGCACTGGATAAGGTACGTCTCTGTCTTTCTTCTTTTCTCTGCGGTCCTGAACACGGTGTATGCGGTTACTCACTATTCTATTCCTGAAGAAATGGAGGAAGGTTCCGTTATTGCTAATCTGGCCTCTGATTTGGGGCTGAACACGAACAGCCTCAGTAATCGCAAGATGCGCTTGGATGTTATTGCCAACAAAAAATATCTGGACGTTAACAAAGAAACTGGCGAGCTGTATATCGTCGAAAGGTTGGACAGGGAATCTCTTTGTACAACTAAGACAGCAACATCATGTTTTCTTAAAATGGATGCAACGATTGAAAATCCAATAAGGATGTTCAATATAGAATTAGAAATCCTGGATATAAACGACAACGCGCCACATTTTCGACGGGACACAATGCATTTGGATATATCAGAGTCTACTCCCGTTGGGGAGCGATTCTCTCTGAACAATGCAGTGGACCCGGACGTTGGTAGCAACACTGTTAAAACCTACCACCTAAGTGAGAGTGAACATTTCAATATCGAAATACAGACCGGTAGAGATGGAGCAAAATTTGCTGATTTGATACTGCAAAAGGCTTTAGACCGAGAAAAGCAGTCGGTTCACAATCTAATACTCACGGCTGTAGATGGCGGAGTACCCCGCGCGCTCTGGAATAGCCAACATCATTGTTCGCGTTCTAGATACAAATGACAACGCCCCTAAGTTTAATAAAGACACCTACAAAATAGATATAATGGAAAACTCTCCAATTGGAAGTCTTGTGGTAAAATTGAATGCAACAGACTTAGATGAGGGCACCAATTCGGAAATAATATATTCATATAGTTTGTATACATCTGAGAAAACTCAAGGCACTTTCAGTTTAAACCCTAACAATGGAGAAATAACGGTAAAAGAAATGATAAATTATGAAGATTTCAGGATTTACGATATGGAAGTCATAGCAACAGATAAGGGAGCGAATTCCTTGTCAGGTCAGTGTAAATTAACCATTTTAGTCACCGATATGAATGATAATCATCCCGAAATATCTATTAAATCTTTCCAAAGTCCAGTCAAGGAGGATATAGCAGTAGACACGGTAATAGCAGTGGTTAGTGTCAGCGATAAAGATTCAGGTGAAAATGGTATAGTTGACCTTCATATTGCTGATAAATTACCTTTTGCGCTGAGAGAATCCTCTGGTAACTATTATGAGTTAGTAGTTTCAGAACCTCTGGACCGCGAGAAGGTCCCAGAATATGACATCACTTTTACCGTAACAGACAGGGGATCCCCTCCGCTATCTGACAATGAAACTATGACTTTAGAACTACTTGACGTAAACGACAACGTTCCACAGTTCCCACAGTCATTCTACACTATTCCCGTTATGGAGAATAACGCACCTGGGGCCTTGCTAAGTTCCCTCACTGCGTTTGATCCAGACCTCCATGAAAACCAGTATCTAGTTTATTTCATCATAGAAAAGGAGATAGTGAACACCTCGATGTCCATGCTGTTCTCCATCAATCCGGAGAACGGTAATCTTTACGCACTGAAGACGTTTGACTATGAGATAGAGAAGGAGTTCCTTTTCCACATTGAGGCCAGAGACTCTGGTGTTCCTCCACTCAGCAGTAACGTGACTGTCCACATCATTATTGTGGACCAGAACGACAACACCCCGGTCATAGTGTCTCCGTGGCGCGCGCACGGCTCCATGGTGGAGGAAAAGATCCACAGATCCACCGATAAAGGAACCCTGGTCTCCAAGGTGATAGCCATAGACACGGACTCGGTCCAGAACTCTCGGATTACATACCAGTTTCTACAGGTTACTGACGCCACCTTATTCAGTCTGGACCAATACAACGGAGAGATTCGGACAATGAGAATGTTCAGTTACAGAGATCCGCGTCATCAACGGCTGGTTGTCATCGCCAAGGACAACGGGGACCCTGCTCTCTCTGCTACAGTTACTATAAAGCTCTCAACAGTGGAGACTGCCGTTAAAGCCTACTCTGATATGACTGAAGTGCCTCTAGAATATGACATATTTTCAGACTTAAACCTCTATTTGGTGATCGGCCTTGGCTCGGTTTCCTTTCTGTTATTGATCACCATATTGGTCACCTGTGTGCTGAAGTGTCAGAAACCAATGCCCAGCAAAGCAGCTCCTCCCAGTAGGAACAGCGTGATCAGCGAGAGGAACTCGACCATCGCGGATTCCACCCTGGTCTCCAACGATGCCTACTGGTACAGTCTGTTTCTAGCGGAGACAAGGAAAGGAAAGCTGGTAGTCAGACAGCCTGTGCCAAAAGCGGGTTCCAGATACATTGTGTCTAGTATACCAAGGAGCACGGGCCTGACAGAGACCAGCGACTCAGCAGCCTCTACTCTGCAGGTAAGAATGACCTCCACCTATGCTTAACTATAAATAGCAATACGTTTGATAGAGTTGTTTTCTTCAGTGCACAATTCTCGTGCGTAAAATGGATGAATTGGTTGAATCAAGTTCGACCACGTTGAAATCAACAATTCCACGTCCACATTCAATTTAATTATAAGCAACCTAATGATTCAATTCACAAGTCTAAAAGTTACTGTTGTCCTGTTGCAACTGTTTTCACAGACTACTTAAAGTTTCAAGGCACTAATAATACAAGTAAAACGTTTGCAATGTTTGCAATTCAGGGCTGCATAGGCTGGCAAAATGCACAAAGTGTCGCTGCTCACCAATAAAACGCACTATTCTGTGATGTAATCGTCGCCATGACAGTTCGTCATAGTGATAGATGCAGTGCCTATTCTGTGTTGACAGCTACCGGTCCTGAATTTCGCTGCTTTCGAGATAATTTTAGTCCATTGTCAAAACGTTACAGGGTCATCTCGTTTTCTTGACATAAATTCAACACAACTTAATATTTTCGTTGTGGTGCGATACGCACAGAGCAAAGCAATACAACAATGGAAACGCACATCAGTGCACAGCACTGGATAAGGTACGTCTCGGTATTTCTTATTTTCTCTACCGCCCTGAACACGGCATTTGCGGTTACTCACTATTCTATTCCCGAAGAAATGGAGGAAGGCTCTATTGTTGCTAATCTGGCTGCTGATTTGGGTCTTGATGCGAAAACCTTAGTTAAGCGTAAAGTACGGTTGGATGTTATCGCTAATAAGAGGTATCTGGAGATTAACAAAGAGACAGGAGAGCTATTCATCGCGGAGAAAATTGACAGAGAGTACCTATGCAACAGCAAAAATCCATCTTGTTTCATTAAAATGGATGTTTCGATTGAAGAACCAATACGAATGTTTAATATTGAAGTGGAAATACTGGACATAAATGACAACGTGCCCCATTTTCGCAGGGACACCATGCACCTGGATATATCAGAATCCACCCCAGCAGGAGAACGATTCTCGCTAAACAATGCAGTTGACCCAGATATCGGTACAAACTCCGTTAAGTCGTATCACTTAAGTGATAGCGAGCATTTTAGTATAGAGATTCAAACCGGGAGAGACGGGTCAAAGTTTGCTGATTTGGTTCTAAAAAATGCTTTAGACCGAGAAGAGCAGGCGGTCCATAACCTAATACTCACAGCTGTAGATGGCGGAGTCCCCTCACGCACAGGCACAGCCAACATCATTGTTCGCGTTCTAGATACGAATGACAACGCCCCTCAATTTGATAAAGAAAGCTACACCATCAATGTTATGGAAAACTCCCCAATTGGAAGCCTTGTGATTGAATTGAATGCAACAGACTTAGATGAGGGAACAAATTCGGAAATAGTATATTCATATAGCCTTTATACATCAGAGAAAACTCAAGCAACGTTCAGTTTGAATTCTAATAATGGTGAAATCAGAGTAAAAGAAATGATTAATTATGAAGATTTCAGGATTTATGACATGGAAGTCATAGCAATGGACAAGGGACCCAATTCCTTGAGAGGGCAGTGTAAATTAACTATTTTAGTTACAGATATGAATGACAATCATCCAGAAATTTCCATAAAATCATTTCAAAGTCCTATAAAGGAAAACGTAGCCATAGACACAGTGATAGCAGTTGTTAGTGTCAGCGATAAAGATTCAGGTGAAAATGGTATAATTGACCTTCATATTGCTGATCAAATGCCATTTGCACTAAGAGAGTCTTCTGATAACTATTATGAGTTGGTAGTTTCAGAGCCTCTGGACCGCGAGAAGGTCCCAGAATATGACATCACTTTTACCGGTAACAGACAGGGGTTCCCCTCCGCTATCTGACAACGAAACTGTGACTTTAGAACTACTAGACGTTAACGACAACGTCCCACAGTTCCCCCAGTCGTTCTACACTATACCCGTTATGGAGAATAACGCACCTGGGGCCTTGCTAAGTTCCCTCACTGCGTTTGATCCAGACCTCCATGAAAACCAGTATCTAGTTTATTTCATCATAGAAAAGGAGATAGTGAACACCTCCATGTCCATGCTGTTCTCCATCAATCCGGAGAACGGTAATCTTTACGCACTAAAGACTTTTGACTATGAGATAGAGAAGGAGTTCCTTTTCCACATTGAGGCCCGAGACTCTGGTGTTCCTCCACTCAGCAGTAACGTGACTGTCCACATCATTATTGTGGACCAGAACGACAACACCCCGGTCATAGTCTCTCCGTGGCGCGCCCACGGCTCCGTGGTGGAGGAGAAGATCCCCAGATCCACCGATAAAGGATCCCTGGTCTCCAAGGTGATAGCCATAGACACGGACTCGGTCCAGAACTCTCGGATTACATACCAGTTTCTACAGGTTACTGATGCCACCTTATTCAGTCTGGACCAATACAACGGAGAGGTCCGGACAATGAGAATGTTCAGTTACAGAGATCCGCGTCATCAACGGCTGGTTGTCATCGCCAAGGACAATGGGGACCCTGCTCTCTCTGCTACAGTCACCATAAAGCTCTCAACAGTGGAGACTGCCGTTAAAGCCTACTCTGATATGACTGAAGTGCCTCTAGAATATGACATATTTTCAGACTTAAACCTATATTTGGTGATCGGCCTTGGCTCCGTGTCCTTTCTGTTATTGATCACCATATTGGTCACCTGTGTGCTGAAGTGTCAGAAACCAAAGCCCAGCAAAGCAGCTCCTCCCAGTAGGAACAGCGTGATCAGCGAGAGGAACTCAACCATCGCAGATTCCACCCTGGTCTCCAACGATGCCTACTGGTACAGTCTGTTTCTGGCGGAGACTAGGAAAGGAAAGCTGGTAGTCAGACAGCCTGTGCCAAAGGCGGGCTCCAGATACATTGTGTCCAGTATACCAAGGAGCACGGGCCTGACAGAGACCAGCGACTCAGCAGCCTCTACTCTGCAGGTAAGAAATACGACGCCTACTTGTACAGTCTGTTTCTAGCGGAGGAAAGGAAAGCTGTTTGTCAGACAGACTGTGCCGAAAGCGGGCTCCAGATACATTGTGTCCAGTAGCCTCCAGTAGCCTCTACTCTGATTCGCTGCTCTGAGCCTCTACCCCAGGGATAGTCAACTAGATTCAGTCACGGGCCACATTTTTTTCTCGTGCGGATGGTCGTGGGTTTGGAACATAATTACAAATAATTTGTGGACTGCAAATTGACCGCAAGTAGCCCAAACAGATATCATATTTGCCTAAAACAATCATTTCAAACTTTGCTTACATTTGTATACGACAACGTGTCTCTCCATTATGCGTGGGAATACTTGAACAGATTTCTTAAATTAAAATATCTTGGAGCTGATGTCCTGGTGTTTTTAAAGTATTTTATGATCAGAACACGTTGGGGGCCAAATAAAACCACCCAAGGGTCAAATTCGTCCCGCTGGCCGCCAGTTGGGGAACCCTGCTCTGCTCTGACTCTACTGGTTTAACATAATGTGCAATAACTTTGACGTGTGTTCTCTGCAGTACGCATGCGTACAATTGATAAGCACGTTGGCTAAAGTTCGACGATAATTTGAAAGCATTTAAAACAACACAAATTTTACTTTCACATTCCATTTGTTTACCATTGAACAATCAATTCACCTCAAACAGTTAGGTTACTAATATTTCTGTCCACAACTGCTGCAATTGTTACAAGAAGTAAACACAATTAACCAATAATAGGCCTAAATAAAACAATGTTCATAATGTTTTCTTTACCTCACATTCTATAACTATTATTGTGTGTCGTCTTTAATCGTCACATAAATAATATCACCAAAAAGTGTGCAATAAATATGTATTAAATTCAACGTTGCAAGGGCTGTTAAAATGCGCAAAGGGTCGCTGCTCGCCAATAAAACGCACTCTTCGGTGATGGAATGGTAGCCATGACAGTTCGTCATAGCGATAAAGACAATGCGTATTCTGTGTGGACAGCTCCCGGGTTCTGACATTTATCACTGCTTTTGAGAAGGTCGTTTTTGTCTATATCTTCAAAAAGGTTACATATCTCATTTTCTTTACCCAAGTTCGCCACCAACTTAACGTTTTCGTTGTGCAGCATTACGCACATCCTAACAATGGAGGTGCATATTAGTGGAGAGCCCTGGAGAAGGTACGTCTCGGTCTTTCTTCTTCTCTCTGCTGTATTGAACACGGCATCTGCGGTTACTCACTATTCTATTCCTGAAGAGATGGAGGAAGGCTCCGTTGTTGCTAATTTAGCTGCCGATTTGGGTTTGGATGCTAAAATCATGGCTAGGCGTAAAGTACGGTTGGATGTTATCGCCAATAAGAGGTATCTGGAGATAAACAAAGACACAGGGGAGCTACTGATAGCGGAGAAGATTGATAGAGAATACTTATGCAACGTTAAGACGTCATCTTGTTTCCTCAAAATGGATGTTACCATCGAAAACCCAATAAGACTATTTAATATTGAAGTGGAAATAATGGACATAAATGACAACTCGCCCCAATTTCGCCGGGACACCATGCACCTGGATATATCAGAATCCACCCCTGCAGGAGAACGATTCTCGCTAACCAATGCAGTAGACCCAGATTTTGGTGCAAACTCTATCAATACGTATCACTTAAGCGAGAGTGAGCATTTTAGTATAGAGATTCAGACCGGAAGAGACGGGTCAAAGTTTGCTGATTTGATTCTTAAAAAGGCTTTAAACCGAGAGGAGCAGGCGGTTCATAATCTAATACTCACAGCTGTAGATGGCGGAGTCCCCACGCGCTCCGGTACAGCCAACATCATTGTTCGCGTTCTAGATACGAATGACAACGCCCCTCAATTTGATAAAGACAGCTACAACATTAATGTGATGGAAAACTCTCCAATTGGGAGCCTTGTGGTTAAATTGAATGCAACAGACTTAGATGAGGGTACCAATTCGGAAATAGTATATTCATATAGTCTTTATACATCTGATAAAACCCAACAAACTTTCAGTTTGAATTCAAAAAATGGTGAAATCAGAATCAAAGAAATGATAAATTATGAAGATTTCAGGATTTATGATATGGAAGTTATAGCAACTGATAAGGGGCCTAATTCATTGACAGGGCAGAGTAAATTAACTATTTTGGTCACAGATATGAATGACAATCACCCTGAGATATCAATTAAATCGTTTCAAAGCCCTGTCAAGGAGGATATTCCAGTAGACAGTGTGATAGCAGTGGTTAGTGTCAGCGATAAAGATTCAGGTGATAATGGGATAGTTGATATTCGTATTGCCGATACATTACCTTTTGCGCTGAGAGAGTCCTCAGATAACTATTATGAGTTAGTAGTTTCACAACCTCTGGACCGTGAGAAGGTCCCAGAATATGACATCACCTTTACCGTAACAGACAGGGGTTTCCCTCCACTATCTGACAACGAAACTATGACTTTAGAACTACTAGACGTAAACGACAACGTCCCACAGTTCCTCCAGTCGTTCTACACTATACCCGTTATGGAGAATAACGCACCTGGGGCCTTGCTAAGTTCCCTCACTGCGTTTGATCCAGACCTCCATGAAAACCAGTATCTAGTTTATTTCATCATAGAGAAGGAGATAGTGAACACCTCCATGTCCATGCTGTTCTCCATCAATCCGGAGAACGGTAATCTTTACGCACTAAAGACGTTTGACTATGAGATAGAGAAGGAGTTCCTTTTCCACATTGAGGCCAGAGACTCTGGTGTTCCTCCACTCAGCAGTAACGTGACTGTCCACATCATTATTGTGGACCAGAACGACAATACTCCGGTCATAGTCTCTCCGTGGCGTGCACACGGCTCCATGGTGGAGGAGAAGATCCCCAGATCCACCGATAAAGGATCCCTGGTCTCCAAAGTGATAGCCATAGACACAGACTCGGTCCAGAACTCTCGGATTACATACCAGTTTCTACAGGTTACTGACGCCACCTTATTCAGTCTGGACCAATACAACGGAGAGGTCCGGACAATGAGAATGTTCAGTTACAGAGATCCACGTCATCAACGGCTGGTTGTCATCGCAAAGGACAATGGGGACCCTGCTCTCTCTGCTACAGTTACCATAAAGCTCTCAACAGTGGAGACTGCCATTAAAGCCTACTCTGACATGACTGAAGTGCCTCTGGAATATGACATATTTTCAGACTTAAACCTATATTTAGTGATCGGCCTGGGCTCGGTGTCCTTTCTGTTATTGATCACCATATTGGTCACCTGTGTGCTGAAGTGTCAGAAACCAAAGCCCAGCAAAGCGGCTCCTCCAAGTAGGAACAGTGTGATCAGTGAGAGGAACTCAACCATCGCAGATTCCACCCTGGTCTCCAACGATGCCTACTGGTACAGTCTGTTTCTAGCAGAGACGAGGAAAGGAAAGCTGGTAGTCAGACAGCCTGTGCCTAAGGCGGGCTCCAGATACATCGTGTCCAGTATACCAAGGAGCACTGGCCTGACAGAGACCAGCGACTCAGCAGCTTCTACTCTGCAGGTAAGATGACCTACACCACTTCTTCCAGGAAAACAAACCCTTACAGCAAATCACCCTGCAACAATCAGAGGACGTCGCTAGGCGTCTGACCAAGTAGGCCTCGATTCACACTTTGAGCAGCTGTCTCAATACCTTTGTGGGTTATAGGCCTATTTACATGTTTCTCTTTAAGTTTTGTTTTTCAGAGGTATGTGTAGGCCTAATTGTGACCAAATCAGACGGATGAAAATAGCACACCAGCCTTTGCTCACCTCAAAACTCTCCTCAATTACAGTCAGAAGCTTGCCCCTTGACTAAGAGCATCACAATGTCAGTTCAAGACACTGGAGCTCATTTGGGTCAATGGGATCACTATGAGAGAGGGTCTTGATTCACACCTCGAGCAGCTGTCTAAGTACCTGTGTGGGTTTTAGGCCTACTTATACCATTTTCCAGAAGTTTTGGTCTTTAGAGGCTATGTGTAGGCCTACTCATGACCAAAACCAACCAACTAAAATAGCATAGCAGCCTTTGCATCTATTTCGTCAAAGTCAGTGGGTAGCTTGCCCCTTGACTCAGAGTACCACAGTGTAAAGGTTGAGACAGCTGAGGTCATCTCGGTCAATGGGAGCGCTATGAAGGATGAGCTCTGCATCTGTTGATATTGTCAGGAGCTTCTCCTGCAGGCAGCATACTGTACTTGTTCCTGATTGGTCGAGTCTCATGTATACTGCCAGGAGTAGTCTGTCTTTCCTGTTTGAACTGTAAGAGAAACAATGAGTGTATCTCAATGGTCTAAGGTGACACACTCTCCTTGTCTCCAGTGCTTTCACATCAGTGATAAAGGAAAGGACACAGGGAGAGAATGAGACACTTAAAGGCCCAGTGCTGGCAAAAACATGATTTTCCTGCATTTTATACATATTTCCACACTACGAGGTTGGAATAGTAATGTGAAATTGTGAAAATCAAATCAAATGTTATTTGTCACATGCACCGAATACAACAGGTATAGAATAGACCTTACCATGACATGCATCCAAGCCCTTAACCAACAATGCAGTTTTAATAAAATAAGAGTTAAGAAAATATTAACTAAATAAACTAAATTTAAAAAAGTAACACAATAAAATAACAATAACGAGGCTACCAGTACCAAGTCTGTCACGATCGTTCAAGGAAGTGACGGACCAAGGCACAGCGTGGTAAGCGTATATTTTATTTAATTAACGTACTTAACACACACAAACAACAAACCAAACGATACGTGAAGTCCTAGGTTAACACCAAAACAAACCATACGGAACAAGATCCCACAATAAACAGTGCTAAACAGGCTGCCTAAGTATGGTCCCCAATCAGAGACAACAAGCAACAGCTGCCTCTGATTGGGAACCACCCTGGCCAACATAGAAATACATGAACTAGAACAAAACATAGAAAATAACACATAGAAAATCCACACCCTGGCTCAACATATAAGAGACCCCAGAGCCAGGGCGTGACAAAGTCAATGTGCGAGGGTACAGGTTAGTCGTGGTAATTGAGATAATATGAACAGTTGGATTCAGAAGTTTACATACACTTAGGTTGGAGTCATTAAAACTTGTTTTTCAACCACTCCACAAATTTGTTGTTAACAAACTATAGTTTTGGGAAGTTGGTTAGGACATCTACTTTGTGCATGACACAAGTAATTTTTCCAACAATTGTTTACAGACAGATTATTTCACTTATAATTCACTGTATCACAATTCCAGTGGGTCAGAAGTTTACATACACTAAGTTGACTGTGCCTTTAAACAGCTTGGAAAATTCCAGAAAATGATGTCATGGCTTTAGAAGCTTCTGATAGGCTAATTGACATCATTTGAGTCAATTGGAGGTGTACCTGTGGATGTATTTCAAGGCCTACCTTCAAACTCAGTGCCTCTTTGCTTGACACATTGGGAAAATCAAAATAAATCAGCCAAGACCTCAGAAAACAAATTGTAGACCTCCTCAAGTCTGGTTCATCCTTGAGAGCAATTTCCAAACGCCTGAAGGTACCACATTCATCTGTACAAACAATAGTACGCAAGTATAAACACCATGGGACCACACAGCCGTCATACCGCTCAGGATGGAGACGCGTTCTGTCTCCTAGAGATGAACGTACTTTGGTGTGAAAAGTGCAAATCAATCCCAGAACAACAGCAAAGGACCTTGTAAAGATGCTGGAGGAAACAGGTACAAAAGTATCTATATCCACAGTAAAATGAGTCCTATATCGACATAACCTGAAAGGCCGCTCAGCAAGGAAGAAGCCACTGCTCCAAAACTGCCATAAAAAAGGCAGACTACGGTTTGCAACTGCACGTTGGGACAAAGATCGTACTTTTGGGAGAAATGTCCTCTGGTCTGATGAAACAAAAATAGAACTGTTTGGCCATAATGACCATCGTTATGTTTGGAGGAAAAAGGGGGTCTCTTGCAAGCCGAAGAACACCATCCCAACCGTGAAGCACGGGGGTGGCAGCATCATGCTGTGGGGGTGCTTTGCTGCAGGAGGGCCTGGTGCACAAAATAGATGGCATCATGAGGAAGGAAAATTATGTGGATATATTGAAACAACATCTCAAGACATCAGTCAGGAAGTTAAAGCTTGGTAGCAAATGGGTCTTCCAAATGGACAATGACCCCAAGCATACTTCCAAAGTTGTGGCAAAATGGCTTAAGGACAACCAAGTCAAGGTATTGGAGTGGCCATCACAAAGCCCTGACCTCAATCCTATAGAACATTTGTGGGCAGAACTGAAAAAGCGTGTGCAAGCAAGGAGGCCTACAAACCTGACTCAGTTACACCAGCTCTGTCAGGAGGAATGGGCCAAAATTCACCCAACTTATTGTGGGAAGCTTGTGGAAGGCTACCCGAAACATTTGACCCAAGTTAAACAATTTAAAGGCAATGCTACCAAAACTAATTGAGTGTATGTAAACTTCTGACCCACTGGGAATGTGATGAAAGAAATAAAAGCTGAAAGAAATCATTTTCTCTACTATTATTCTGACATTTCACATTCTTAAAATAAAGTGGTGAGCCTAACTGACCTAAAACAGGTGAATTTTTACTAGGATTAAATGTCAGGAATTGTGAAAAACTGAGTTTTAAATGTATTTGGCTAAGGTGTATGTAAACCTCCGACTTCAACTGTACATGTAGGTAGGGGTAAAGTGACTATGTATAGATAATAAACAGCGAGTAGCAGTGTAAATAGTCCGGGTGGCCATTTGATTAATTGTTCAGCAGTCTTATGGCTTGGGGGTAGAAGCTGTTAAGGAGCCTTTTGGACCTAGACTTGGCGCTCTGGTACAGCTTGCCGTGCGGTAGCAGAGAGAACAGTTTATTACTTTGGTGGCTGGAGTCTTTGACAATTTTTGGGGCCTTCCTCTGATACAGTCTAGTATAGAGGTCCTGGATGGCAAGAAGCTTGGCCCCAGTAATGTACTGGGCCATACGCACTACCCTCTGTAGCGCCTTGCGGTTGGATGCCGAGCAGTTGCCATACCAGGTGCAGCTGTATAACTTTTTGAGGATCTGGGGACCCCATGCCAAATCTTTTCAGTCTCAAGCGTTGTTGTGCCCTCTTCACGACTGTCTTGGTGTGTTTGGAGCATGATAGTTTGTTGGTGAAGTGGACACCAAGGAACTTGAAGCTCTCGACCTGCTCCACTACAGCGCTGTCGATATGAATGGGGGTGTGTTTGGCTCTCCTTTTCCTGTAGTCCACGATCAGTCGTCCGGAACAGCTGGTGCTCTCATGCACTGTTCAGTGTTGCTTGCCTCGAAGTGAGCATAGAAGGCATTTAGCTTGTCATGTAGGCTCGCGTCTCTGGGCAGCTCACGGCTGAGTTTCCATTTGTAATCCGTAATAGTTTGCAAGCCCTGCCACATCCGACGAGCGTCAGAGCCGGTGTAGTAGGATTCAATCTTAGTCCTGTATTGATGCTTTGCCTGTTTGATGGTTCGTCTGAGGGCATAGCGGGAATTTTTATAAGCGTCCGGATTAGTGTCCCGCTCTTTGAAAGCGGCAGCTCTTTAGCTCAGTGCGGATGTTGCCTGTAATCCATGGTTTTTGCTTGGGATATGTACGTACGGTCACTGTGGGGATGACATCATCGATGCACTTATGGATGAAGCCGGTGATTGATGTGGTATACTCCTCAATGCCATAGGATGAATCCCGGAACATATTCCTGTCTGTCCTAGCAAAACAGTCCTGCAGCTTAGCATCCGCATGATCTGACCACTTCCGTATTGAGCGAGTCACTGGTACTTCCTGCTTTAGTTTTTGCTTGTAAGCAGGAATCAGGAGGATAGAATTATGGTCAGATTTGCCAAATGGTGGGCGAGGCAGAGCTTTGTACACGTCTCTGTGTGTGGAGTAAAGGTGTTCTATAATTTTTTTTTTTTTCTCCCTCTGGTTGGACATGTGACATGCTGGTAGAAATGAGGCAAAACGGATGTACGTTTTCCTGCATTATAGTCCCTGGACACTAGGAGCGCCGCTTCTGGATGAGCATTTTCTTGTTTGCTAATGGCTTTATACAGCTCGTTGAGTGCAGTCTTAGTGCCAGCATCGGTTTGTGGTGGTAAATAGACAGCTACGAAAAATATAGATGAAAACTCTTGGTAGATACTGTGGATAGTGTGGAAAATGTAGTCTAAGAGCTGTTTTGAAAAGACCGCCTGAAATTTCAGCCTGTTTTGGTGGGATGGATTTTTGTCCTTCCTGGTGACATCACCAGGTGGTAAATTACTGTAGTTAATAGACCAATAAGAATGGGAGTTCCAAACCTCTCTGCCAATAACAGCTAGTTGTCCGTTTTCCGTTCCACACTCAGACCACTCCCAGACAGTCATTGCAAAATTCATGCTTGAGAAATTGCTCTTTGCTTAAAAGCTATTTTTGTTTATTTCTGACCATTTTAACTTAATTTCAAACAATTACAGTAAGGTACTTAATTGTTACCAAGAAATGTTTTGATATTGAGATAAAAATGGCTGCATTGGACCTTTTAAGACTACAAAGACTGCATCATGAATAACACAAATATAACACTTTAGTGAAAAGTTTATTTCTGAGAAGAAGCAATGATGATTTCATATTACATTTTTCGACATCAGAAACCTGGCAAATTACAACCCCAAAAAAAGTAAGATAAAAAAAATAATGTTTGCCGTCACAAAAACTATTAAAAATAAAGAAAGTCACAAACTCTCCCGTTTACATTACAGAAACTATTCACAGAAACGTATCGCATACTGTTTACCCAGATATACAGTATATAGAAAGTATCAGATGCAGAGATGGCAGGTGTAACATTTCCACTTTCCACCACATTACCAGTCTAAAAATAGGTCACCTTCTGGTGTTGCCAGTTAATCCTTATGACAGGCCTAGTTCCTTTCTCTCTGAAATGCATTCACCTGGTATTCATTCATATCACTTCCCTCTAGCATCTCAGTAAACAGCTGCAGCACCTGCTGTGAATAAAACCTTCTAATTTGGTCTGACAGGTTGAGTGGTGTGTTGCTGTGTGGCGTGTGGTCTATATTTCACTTCACTGACTGTGCCTGCATACTGCAGTCATTTAGAGGTATACTGCAGCCGTTTTTCGAGGTAACACAGTGATGAAGATTACACAGTGCCAGAAGCAATTCTATTTATGTATGGTCTTCTAGAATATGGGGAGACAGAAACCCCTTGAGCTTTCAAAACAGACCAGATATGGTTTTACATTAGATTCACATTAGATTAGTCTATTATTAACCTAGAGGCATCCGCTCATCATTGACATCAAAGGTTTTTATCTAATGTTCTATCTGCTTATTGACTTCCTTTCATCAAATATATTCAACTGCAGCTGTAAATGCATTCGAATAAACCCCTCTCTCTCCCACAGTGAGCCCAGTCAAGCTGAAGGCCTAGCTTTGTGTAAAGCTTTTCAATGCGGCCACTCCCCCTCTATGCTGCAGAGGTTATCTCTCCTCCTCTTGCATCTCTCAGTAAGGGAAGGAGAGCAGGAGGAGGTCTGCAGTAAGAGATGGGTCAGGGTTGTAGTCAGCTTGTTTTGCTGTGCAGCTCTCTCTCTATACCTAATAATGTGCACTGCCAGTTCTCAAAAGCCAGTGGCCATGGCCTTTCTACACGTTCTGCAAGATCTGTTCTCATGTTATTATACATTTGCGCACTCATTCCAATTATAACACATGTTTTCCTTGATCAAGGCTAGTTCTTGTAAAAAGGTAAGTTTGGCAGAATAAGTGATTGTGTGCGCTCTTGTGTGTGAGGGTGACTGTGTTTGTGTGTGTATGGATTGCTGAAACTGTCATTTTCCTAACTAACTCATGTTATCCTTTTCAGACTGCCATGCAATTTTTCCTGTTATGGTGTTTTGTCTGTTTTATCTTAAGCATCTTCTGTTTTGGGCTATATTATTCAAAGTGCAGATTGTTTCGCAGACTTATAAGATACTCTCTTTAGTAGAAATGCAATGATTAATACGAAAAAAGTGAGAGTATAGCCATAGGCCAAAACCATGCATACAGAAAGGATTCCTCTTCTTGTGTTCTGCAATGTCTTGACCATTGAAATGATTCTTTCTTTTCTCCCTGTTCTTAAGTACCCTAAGTGAGGGAAGTCCACTCTGCAGTTGGAGGTATGCAGGAGTCTCACTCACCCGCCCCGGAACCCCTTATTGAATTACCTTACAGAAATGATGTATTTTCGTTTTTGTGTCTTTTTTTTGTTTTCGGTGGAACTCCAGTTCTCTTGTCGTTTCTTTGTTCCTCTTGGAGGACGTGCTGTGGTTTTGATGACAAACATCACTTGGCCGAGTCGATACCAAACCCCTGCCCTCCTGCCCTGTTCCCCATGGCTTAATCCACAATTAAAAAGCACCAGATTGAGGCTGGCCTGCACCGACCTTTTGTCCCTTTTAACAGATCCTCATCCCAAAACTAGCCACTGCTGCCCATATTAGACTCTCACCCTCAAGGCCTATTGAGCCTGTCTCAGCTCTAGAAATGCTACTGTTATGATGCTGATGTCTAGGTCCTGCTGACCTAGTTTCCTAACTCTACAGTACATTTGGTCTTTCTCCTCTGCCAGAACAGTGACTTTTGGACGGTTTCCTGTCAGGGAAACAAACTAATGGCATTGATTGACCTCAGAGGACATCAGACAGAGACAGAGTAATAATCATAATGCTGCTGATAATAATAATCTGTGATCTATTTGGCAGAAGCTCTGGCTTTAGTTGTAATCCAGATTAAAGAGGGGGATAGATGAAGGTATGTCCTCTCTCCTGCGATTGCCTTTCGTTTTTTGGGCACACACCTGTCTGTCCCACCTGACTGCAGCCAGTCACTGAGCCCTAAGCCCAGCACCTGGACCTAATGAAAAACGTAAACATGTCCTGCTTACACTTACCCACAACTATGGACTCCCTTGACTGATGCATTTTACAGTATCCTACCAGGCCCTCCCTGAAACCACCACAGAAGCTTTCTAACCAGGCTGTCATACATTTTTACATGTAGCAGAACTATACATCTAATAGGTTTTCACACAGTCCTCTGCATGTGATATTAATATGTGTTCATCTCCTTCAGTCCCATCACTAAAGCAGACCAGGCACATACTCTACTGCATCTCAGACTGTTAGTTTGGTGGATTGGACTGTAGTGTTTTTGGTGTGATTGATTGATTGTTTGATTGTTTGACTGACTGTTGTTGAGTTCACAACACAATGATCCTTGTGAATTCCTGTTTACTGGGATGTGATGTGTGACCTAATTCTTCGTGCAGAGGGACGGGAAATGAAACTAATCACCCAGTTACTTAGCAACCACTCTCTCGCTCCCTCATAATCTTGGAGCATGGTATTCATGAATAGCCCCCCCCCCACCACCACCACCACATGTCCCACTCTGTCGTTCTGCCTGATGCCCTGTCTGACTGACAGACCTCGGCTGCATGAGACATGTCAGAGTTTGGCCAATCATAAGGCTGTGAATGTCCCAGATCCCTCCCACTTTTGTCTAATTCTCTCCTCTCATTCGCAGGGGTCGACCACCACCGGCAGCAGTTCCTCGTAAGGCTCCATCCCCATTGGTCCACTGAAGTGACATCAGGAGGAATCCCCGTCCACTGAAGAAAGGAACCCCCATCCTTACCCTACTCAGCCCCCAACCCTAAACGCCCAGCCCCTCAGTGACACTCCAACTGCACCCCCTTGGCCCCACAATAACTGTACCCCAAGGACCTAAAGGACACTATCGTGACCCCCTGCCCCCCCCCCGTCCCCCGTCCCCCCTGTCCCCTAGCCATGCCCCAAACTCTCTTTAAGCACACGCTAGCCCCAATCAACTTCAACGTCTTTCAATGTCCATTCAACACGCATGATTCTGCATGGCTGTGGCCCATCACTGAGGGCCCTTCATATTTCAACTAACCACACTCAAGAGAAAAGACACTAGAGACACAGAATGCACAAGGAGAGGTACCACTGGACATACAAAAGGAGTTAAAAACAGCCACTATGAAGTAACAGAGATGGACATGGGAATGTGGAATTGCCTTCAAAGACAGTACCCCATCTCAGAAAAATTAAAATCTTGGATGTTATGCTTTTATTTAAGTATTTCTTCTTGTTCTGTCAGAGCATAGGTGTAGAAATGTATAATCAAACAAACAAACATGAAAAGAAATATGTCAGATAGCTAAATAGCTACAGAGGATAAACAGTATAGGACAAAAGGGAATTAGTGTTGTGTGATGTAATGTGATGTAATAGTAGGAAATGTAGTTGTTTTCTGTAGTATACAAAGACATTGTGCTATATGTGAGTGAGAGACTCTTTAGAATAGTTTTATCAACCAATTTATCAAACAAGAAAGAGTGAGGCCTTCTTTATCAATACTGTATATGTATGAAGACTTAATTTGCATGGAGATTTCAATCTAAGTACTTTGTAAGGAATAGTGTTGGATTTGGTCCGGATATTCTGAGTGACTCACAGTGTCTACCAAGGTCTCACTCTCCAATCACTGTTTATTCACTGTTTTTTAAATAAATAAAAATTCATAACAGTATCATAACAAAGAATACTATTAGCCTCCATGATGACTTCGCAATGGTAAAGACCCTTATGAAATCACAAACACTTCTGGTCTGGAGGAGGGGTCAAAGGTCATGGACCTCTGCTCTCCCCCTAACCAGGCAGGAAGAGGTGAAGCAAGAGGGTTTACTCCGCCCAAAATCTGTCCACGTTAAGCAGATTAATTATTAAGCAAGTGAGGAGTTTTTGTATGGGGGGCAATGAGAGAGTGTCGAAATTTAGTCAAGATAAAAATGTATTGCTATTTTGATACGCAAGGCTTATTAGACATTTCGTAATGCTTAGATTGTTATGAGTGTATTGATGTAAGTGTGATGCACGTGACATCCCGGCAACTTTGAAAAAAAAGCACACTTTACATTCCTTTTTATTTCTTATTTTTTCCAACTTTGTACATAATGTGACTGCTAAACAAAATGAGACGCCAATATTTAAAATGTTATTACTACAGTAACTACTATTATTGTAGCTTTAAGTTATGATCAAGGCAAGCATATAATACGTGCTTTGTGTAGCCTATAGTATCTATTGATGGTGCAATATGTAATCATTCTTTTTATGTATTGTACTGTATGCTATTGTGATTTGTTCTATATAATACCATTACATCCATTATTAATTTCCTCTTTGCTCTGTGAATTACTGGTTATTTTAGCTTTCCAAGGTGGGCCCACTCATCCTCAGCACATAAAAGATATCCCTAACCACTGATACAAGGTCAGATATTTTTCAGCGCTCTAATTGTTAAACAAGGTTAGTAGGGTATCTGATGATGCTGGATCTGTGGTTTAGGGGCAACTTCTACAGTAGGCTAAGTCTAGGTCAGCTGATCAGTTCATGTTCCACAGCAGTTCATTGGTTGACATGCTAGCTACTGTAGCTTCTATAGCTACAGCTACTGTACTCAATTCGATTTTTGATGTAGCTGCTCATGATCAAGTTCTACCAGAGAAAAGCTTCATAGTCGAACTGATCATGTGATTTTTTTAATTTATTTTTTACCTGCTTGTGCCCGCGGTGGAAGTGGGTGATCCGTAAAACAGAAGCAAAAACATAAAAGTAATAGGCCGGAAACAAGTAATTTTAAGTGAGAGACTATGAATCTCATTGGTTAATGTCATTGGTGGATATTGAAGGTGTGTAAAGTCATGAAAAACTCACTGGTATTGTAACTGTAGAACTTCTGTAACCCTCATTAAATATGGTTTATGCACACAATAAGTTGAAAAGTGAAAGATATCTGCTGGCTATTAACTTAGTAATTAATTGAACTGTGAGTTTGGCCATATGAGGAGAACAACATGTTTTTACTGCAAAGGTAAGCAATAACGTTGTTTAATTCGGCCTACAGTGACCAATTCAATGTTGTTTTGAATCGTAAATTAGCTAAACTCAGCGCAGAGAATATGAGGGAGTTCTATTAATAATAATATGCCATTTAGCAGACGCTTTTATCCAAAGCGACTTACAGTCATGCATGCATACATTTTTGTGTATGGGTGGTCCCGGGGATCGAACCCACTACCTTGGCGTTACAAGCGCCGTGCTCTACCAAGTTGAGCTACAGAGGACCACCTGAGCCGCTGTGCACCAGTCGATGTCCCGTGACGTGAACGGGCAAAAGCGATGAAGGAGGAGCGCCCTTCTCAAATCGAACAGTAATCTGCACTGCTCACCGATGTTGTCAACAAGGCAGAATCGTGCATGCATCGTCCAGAAACATACATCTCTTTCCCATGTGAAAACACAGAATCCTACTCATTACTCCACGTGCTAAATTTTTTTGCTTAGGCTACGTCTCTTTTGTTTTGAGCCGACTTCCGCCGTGGGCTTTGAACGGGGCAACTGGCTCACGCCCACGAGGCAGCCCGGTTCCATAACGAATACAATCGCTTTTCACCGGGAACAAACTCCTACCACCTGGGTAACCCGGGACAGATACTTGAATCCCTAAACTGTCAACAATGCATGCATGGTGATGTTTGCCATGCTTTGAGAAGGCCAGGCCTATTTATGCTAAAAGCTAAACGAGTGGTTAGCTAGCTTGCTATTTATTTTATTTATGTCTATTCTGCTATTCACCACATAGTGGCAAGGTAGATTTAGAGTGAGAGAGACAGGTCATGACCATACAGTATGTGACACTGTCTTTGACTCCTCTCTAAGATGGCCAGAGTGGCCCTGATGCTGCTTGCATTGGTGCTGTGTAGGCCTGATGTTAATACTATTATGGTCATGCAGATGGAAAAAGAGAGAGGTGTGTGTGATTATGTGTGTGTTACTGTCCTACACGGCCAATAGCAACAACACAGAGAGGGTAGCTACATAGCAGACTGCTGTGAGTAGGACGTCTCGTCCCCTTGACTGTGTGGTATAGAGACATCTGTGGTTCAGTTAGATAATCAGCACTGTGATTTAGATTGAATGCATGTCTCCTCCTCACAGGCCACTGGCCTGCTGCTGGTTTAAGGTGCTGACTGAGGAGGACATAGCTTTATGTAGGGCACTTACACACTGCTTATGAAACACCCAATTATTAATGTCAGAAAAAGAAACCTGCCTGTGGGAGGAACGGAACGGTCACGGCTATTTTTAACTAAACCTTCTTTTCTCAGACAGGATAGGACAGAGCTGTTCTTTCCTTCTTTTTAGTCTTAGAGATGCCACTGATTTAGGTGTGTGTGTGCGCGCGTGCATGTGTGTGTGTCTGTTTCCGTGTTTGAGTTTTCACAGACACCAGAGTGATTTAGCAGCAGCCAGGCTGATGAGTAAGAGTATCAAGCTGATTCTGTTGGATCTAATGACTCTTAATGCCCAGTTAGCGTAGCGATGGCAGCATGCTAGCCAAGCTGCTCTCCCCTGACTGCTGAGGCCATGGTCTCTGTTTCAGCCTTAATTAAAACATCACATCTGGGGCCCGCCTTGAGGAAAGCTAATTGTACTGTGAGTGCTCCAGCTGTTAGCATCTCTGTGCGTTGTAATTGCTGTTCTACATGTGAGGAAAACAAGCAAACAAATGAAACAACAGGAACCTGTTAACCTGTATCTTTATGCTCTACAGTAGAAATGCAATGTTATCAGTGGAATGAAATCGTGATCTTTTTATGTGGAAGGCCTATATAATAAGCTATAATTACATAATTGTGCTGCAATAGTGACCTGCATAATAATAAGCCATTTAGCAGACGCTTTTATCCAAAGCGACTTACAGTCATGCGTGCATACATTTTTGTGTATGGGTGGTCCCGGGGATCGAACCCACTACCTTGGCGTTACAAGCGCCGTGCTCTACCAGCTGAGCTACAGAGGACCATGTTCATACGCTAAGATAAGATGAGTGCAAAGGGCTTACAGATAATGAAAAAGTTTTGTTCACAGAGGATATTTAATAATAATATGCCATTTAGCAGATGCTTTTATCCAAAGCGACTTACAGTCATGTGTGCATACATTTTTACGTATGGGTGGTCCCGGGGATTGAACCCACTACCCTGGCGTTACAAGCGCCATGCTCTACCAATTGAGCTACAGAGGACCACAAATTTACCGCAAGCTGAACTATATTAGCCCGAACTCTAGCAAAGCCAATTACACTAAAGCTTGTGCTCCTGTGTTGTGTTTTTGAACAATGACATGGTATCATGGTACTGTGTATTTGGTTTTCCATATGCACTTGATTGGTGTTAATAGAACTCATTCCTCTGTGTCAACCAACAGGATGTCTCTCTAAGGTCAAAGGGCATGTGGTTATGTGATTGGCAGAAAACTCAGTGTTTTCTGGGTTATAGAGAGTCTTGAGTGACAGAATCATTTGATGACCTGGTTTATATTCTCCTGCTGCTGCCTTTGTTTGCATGGGTTTCTACTTTTGGTTGAAGTGCATTTGCGTGTATTTGGGCGCATGTGTGTCTAGTTGTGTGTGTGTCTAGGTGTTTGTGTGTCTAGGTGTGTGTGTGTGTGTGTTTGGGTGGACAGGGA